TCGAAACCACTAAAAATTTTAAAATATTTTGAAAAAAACGAAACAAATTGAAAACTGAAATTCTATTGTAAAATAGACAAGAATTTGCATAATTTTGCAAGATTTCTGCATTTGTAAACAAACATATTTGTTATTACAATATAAATAAATGTTATTTTTGTAAAAATTTTAATTGTTTTACGTATTTCTAGTAAAAAAAATATGCACTATCGTGTATTCACTGCTTTAATTCTAACTTTAATTTAATATAGCGTTAAACGGATCGTGTCACATCAAAATATCATCCTGAGTTAGCTGATGACATACTCGTTCGAAATGAGAGTTGACAATCCGTAAACGTGAAAAATGTATAACATTCTAGCATTAAATTGTCTCACTAAAAAATAATTATTGAAAATTTAAAAATTTTCGATAATACTAAGCTAAATGATTCAAATATTACACACATTTATGAAAGGATCGCAAAAATATTCGCAACATTTTATTCTTTTCTTTTTATCAATTACATTCCATTATATTTTTACAGTAAATTGGTTTGTATTGAAGAAGAGATGAAAAAAAAAAGTCAAAGAAATGGTTATAAATTAATTGCTTTTTATGCTTCGAAATATGGATAAAAACAATGATAAATGAGATAGGTGATGAAGAATTTAATCAGTCGCTAAATGAAATTTATTGAAATGAAATAAAAATGGAACAAAAAATATAGAAAATACATATATACATATATATTGCAATAAAATTGTGAAATATTACAGCAATAATACATATATCAAATATCACTCAAAAATATTCCACTAATGATTCAATTATAGAAATAGTTTGAAGGTAATCAGAGCATTAAACTTTTCGCATTTGAATATTTAAAAAAAAAAAAATACGAAATGTCGTTAGATGAGAAAGTGGAACAAACTAATTAAAGGTAATTAAACATAAAATGGTAAAGCACAAAATTATTTTTATATATGAAAATAATTTTGTACTTTACCATTTTAAAATCCTAATTTGAAAAAAAGAGAAAAATGAACTTTTTTGCATTATATCGGAATACAATGCTCAAAATGTTTGTTTTTAATATTTATTACACAATGTTAAACAAAATGGAAATTTAGCAAAGTTTTAATTTGAATTCAAAATAAAGCGGAAGTAATTCGAAATGTCAATAATGCATTTATTTTGACTGATTGCTAACGAACGTACAGTGCGGTGGTCATTCAAAATGTTTTGCGATAGAGATAAAAGCCGTAAGGATAAGCAGCGTAATGATTGACCATCGAAAATTAACACTGACTAATTAAGACAATCATCGAAGCTAATCATTTTAGGATTCGTTGCACGTAATTTACGCAAAACTGCCGAAGAACTGAACGTTTGGCCATTCAATAGTCATTCCAAAATTTAAAGCAAATTGTAAAAATGTATAAAAGCTCAATAAATAAGCTTACTACTAATAAAAAAAATGACATTTCAAATTTTCATTGTCATTTACTTTTACAATGAAACAACGAATCATTTCTGGATTCAGCTGTCAGGTAGGATGAGAGCCGATAAAAATATTTAAATTGTTGATTGAAGAAAAAAACACTTCCCAAGGACAAAATAACACCCGAAAATATTACAATCTATTAATAATAAGCTTTTTGAATTCTCGAAATAATTATATCACAATTTTTTTTCAGCGAATCGATAGGGTGCACTAAAATCTTTTTTTTTTTCTCTCACTCTCTCTACAACAATGCTTTGAAAATTTAGTTTCATTTTTCATATTCATTTAATCTTTTCTCAATACTTTTTTAATTATTAGCAACAATATGCAAGGAAAGAAAATACTTTCCATAATTGGTAAAAAATTAGAATAAATTTTAGTTCTATTACACGAATAATCAAATTAATTCCCTGTTTCAGAAAAAAAAATGTAAAATCATCGTTATTATTTCTAATTCCAACTAATAAACCTACATTTTAAATGTAGTTTAAAATTATAATAAATTTAATAAATTCATGATTTGAAATTATTTGTCTTTTGCTTCGTATTCAATCAAATATATTTCTTATTTGATAATGATTTTAAAATATTTTACCTGATGAGCAATGAAATCCAAAAAAATCGTGATGCAATCATTGTCCACAACATAGCAAAAATTTCACTGCTAATATTAGTAATAACAATAATAATAATAAATGCTAACTGATGCTGTTGATAATTTAAACCTGCGAATGATAATAATAGAAAAAGAAATAGTAAATAAGCACCAGCTAAACAACTGCTTTCGAAATATGAAAGTTTTGCTTTCAGTTTAGCTCAACAGCTTAATGGCGTGATATTGAGAGTGTAAGCGATGGAATTGAATGTAAAAGCAATCTTTTAGCAATAGGAACTTTTCCAGACGTAAAACGTTTAAACGAAAGAAAGCAAAATTCGAATTATACCTTCATCATTTTGCATAACAAAAAATAACATAAAGAGAAGAGAGGGAAAAGAGGTGAGAATGATGTGGATGAGGATGAAAATCCTCTTTATCTTTTCTTTTTTTTTTATTTTCATTTTCACATTTTCTAACTTTTACGAAAAACAAACATATGTTATAATTTGGGCAGTAAAAATAAAAAACCTGCCTTCCTAAACTTCATCATTTGTACTTACTTCCTGCTATTGCTCCTCGTTTTTATTTTGTTACACTTTTCAAAAAATTTTCCAATTTTTAAAAAAATTTTTTTTTTCACTCTAATTTATTCTATTCTTTAATTTTCTACTACTATAT